TGTCCCACATTTCCATGTCTGGCTACAGCCCCCATGGAGAGGCCCAGGTCCAAAAGATGCAGGTTTAGGAGTCTGCCCTAGTTACAACACCCAAGCTGGGCACCTCAGCTCACATCTCAACAACCAGGTCTGCCCAGAGGTGCTACATCCTCATCGGGCAACAGGACCTGGGAGGCTCCAGCCCTTCTCCAACAACCCCCCCAGAGGCCATGGCACGGCAGCGACCACCCAGGCAGGTTTTCAGTGCTCCATTCCCAGCCCACACGCCATCCCTGCCACCGTTCCCCTGCTCCCATTGTGCCAGCAGCTTCCTGCAGAAGGGCCCGCTCTCCTCCGGAGCCAGGCGCCTCGCTAATGAATTTCTGGCCAGACATGAAGAGTCCTCAGGAATGTTAATAGTTTGCTGGAGGATAAGCAAGAGATTTGGAGAGATTTACACCGACTTTCATGTGACAGCCACGAAAGTGGCTCAAACCCTTCTTTTCCTTTACGTGGGGGTGGAGGGAGGAGGCTGCCCCTGCGTCTGTGGCGTTTGCAAGTGACGAGGAGCATGAAAACACAGGGAGCTTCTGTGGGAGCAGCACTGGGGGGAACACGGTGGGTTTGTGTTTCCTCTGTGTCCCCCCCCCGGCCTCACTGTTTCTGGCAGGGAATTTCTTCCAGAGCCAAAGAGAGAACCCAGAGGAGGTGGTGGGATGGGGAGTGCAGAGCTGAGCACCCTGCTGGCCAGCCCCAGGGCCACCATCCCTCCTCCACCGCTGGCACCCAGCTGGGACAGGCTGCCACCACGTCCCTGCCACCACGTCCCTGCCACCACGTCCTTGCCACCATGTCCCTGCCACCACATCCCTGCCACCATGTCCCACCTCTTACCTTCACGTACTCGCTGCCAGACTCCAGGCCATCGTGGGGCCTAGAGGGAAGGGCAAAAAGAAAAATAGGTAAATAAAGGACAGTAAGTCCTGCCAGTCAGGTCAAAGGTGGTGGTGGCACAGCCAGGGGGAGCAGGGGTCTGTGCCCCTTGGATTGCCATGGGGCTAAGAGCATGGCCACGGTTTTGGGAGAGGTTCCCAGTGTTCCTGCTTGTTCCGTGCCTGCTCTTGGGGCAGGGCTTAGCAGCCCTAATGCGATCAGGGAAGAATGAGGCCTTTTTAGAGGATCTTTCCCCAAATCGGCTTGAGAACTTGTGAGCTGAGCTGAGCAGACTCAGCAGTCAGGCTGGGGTCCCCACAGGTCACAGTGCTTGGGGGTGCATGCTGAGGTGGAGGGCTCTGTGCCCTGGCAAAGCTGTGTTCCCAATAGGCAGCTGTCGGGACACGCTGCCTGGACAAGCACTTCTGACTGTTCCTCCATGGCCTCGTGCAACCCTGCAGCAACCCAGCTCCCACTGAAGCCAGGGGTGAACTGCAACATCCTGGCTGAGAGGAGCAAGTTTTTTCCCCCCAGCATACAGGCAATAGAAACTCCTATTCTCTTTGGTGACACGTTCACTCTTAGCCCTACTGACAACCAACCCAACAACCCCGAGATGTTACTGACCCAGCAGCTTCTTTGCCATCATTTCACGGGGAACACAGATGGTCCCTGCTCTTCTCTGAACATTTAGCAATGCTGATACTGCTTTGTGTGCTTTTGTAGGTCAAGGTATATGTCTATGTGGATGAGTCCAAGGGAAATAACAGAGAGTTCAAAGGAAGAGGGGCTCTAGCAGTCTGAGCTGGGATGTGCCACCCTGAGGTCTCAGTTTTCAGAATTAAAATACAAAAAATCAGTCTTTGTTAATCAGAACCCAGTACCTGTTCCCTGCCCTGAGCCAAGCTTCAGTGTGGACATCCCACTGCTTCAAAAGGTCACCTGCCTGAGCATGGGGTGGCAGGAAGGGTCCTGGGCTGGGAGGCTGCCAGCACAAGCGCAGGCAACTGCAACTAAGAAATAATGAAATCTGAGGGTGTCACAGACCCCGGATGTCTCTTCCCTACCAGGAGCCACCTCACTCCACCTAATGCCTACAGCCACTGCCTTGCACCCTAACTTGGGGTCTTGCACAAATGCCCCTCCTGGGGGGTGGTACTGGTGGATCCCTGGGGAGCCAAATTCCTCCTCTGTGGGCGAGTCTGTGGCGTTTGCAAGTGACGAGGAGCATGAAAACACAGGGAGCTTCTGTGGGAGCAGCACTGGGGGGAACACGGTGGGTTTGTGTTTCCTCTGTGTCCCCCCCCCGGCCTCACTGTTTCTGGCAGGGAATTTCTTCCAGAGCCAAAGAGAGAACCCAGAGGAGGTGGTGGGATGGGGAGTGCAGAGCTGAGCACCCTGCTGGCCAGCCCCAGGGCCACCATCCCTCCTCCACCGCTGGCACCCAGCTGGGACAGGCTGCCACCACGTCCCTGCCACCACGTCCCTGCCACCACGTCCTTGCCACCATGTCCCTGCCACCACATCCCTGCCACCATGTCCCACCTCTTACCTTCACGTACTCGCTGCCAGACTCCAGGCCATCGTGGGGGCTAGAGGGAAGGGCAAAAAGAAAAATAGGTAAATAAAGGACAGTAAGTCCTGCCAGTCAGGTCAAAGGTGGTGGTGGCACAGCCAGGGGGAGCAGGGGTCTGTGCCCCTTGGATTGCCATGGGGCTAAGAGCATGGCCACGGTTTTGGGAGAGGTTCCCAGTGTTCCTGCTTGTTCCGTGCCTGCTCTTGGGGCAGGGCTTAGCAGCCCTAATGCGATCAGGGAAGAATGAGGCCTTTTTAGAGGATCTTTCCCCAAATCGGCTTGAGAACTTGTGAGCTGAGCTGAGCAGACTCAGCAGTCAGGCTGGGGTCCCCACAGGTCACAGTGCTTGGGGGTGCATGCTGAGGTGGAGGGCTCTGTGCCCTGGCAAAGCTGTGTTCCCAATAGGCAGCTGTCGGGACACGCTGCCTGGACAAGCACTTCTGACTGTTCCTCCATGGCCTCGTGCAACCCTGCAGCAACCCAGCTCCCACTGAAGCCAGGGGTGAACTGCAACATCCTGGCTGAGAGGAGCAAGTTTTTTCCCCCCAGCATACAGGCAATAGAAACTCCTATTCTCTTTGGTGACACGTTCACTCTTAGCCCTACTGACAACCAACCCAACAACCCCGAGATGTTACTGACCCAGCAGCTTCTTTGCCATCATTTCACGGGGAACACAGATGGTCCCTGCTCTTCTCTGAACATTTAGCAATGCTGATACTGCTTTGTGTGCTTTTGTAGGTCAAGGTATATGTCTATGTGGATGAGTCCAAGGGAAATAACAGAGAGTTCAAAGGAAGAGGGGCTCTAGCAGTCTGAGCTGGGATGTGCCACCCTGAGGTCTCAGTTTTCAGAATTAAAATACAAAAAATCAGTCTTTGTTAATCAGAACCCAGTACCTGTTCCCTGCCCTGAGCCAGGCTTCAGTGTGGACATCCCACTGCTTCAAAAGGTCACCTGCCTGAGCATGGGGTGGCAGGAAGGGCCCTGGGCTGGGAGGCTGCCAGCACAAGCGCAGGCAACTGCAATTAAGAAATAATGAAATCTGAGGGTGTCACAGACCCCGGATGTCTCTTCCCTACCAGGAGCCACCTCACTCCACCTAATGCCTACAGCCACTGCCTTGCACCCTAACTTGGGGTCTTGCACAAATGCCCCTCCTGGGGGGTGGTACTGGTGGATCCCTGGGGAGCCAAATTCCTCCTCTGTGGGCTTCCTACAGGAAGGTAGCCAGTGACTCAGAAATCAGTCACCCAAAAGGAAGTAGGGATGGCAGAGGCAAACCACTGCCTGATGCTGCCCCACTGGGCACCCCCAGTGGCATTACAGCAGGTCCTGCCAGGGTCAGCATGAGTCCCTGCAGTGGGAAACCCACTCTTCTCTTCTCCAGGCCCACGCTGCTGAAACCACATCCCTTGCTGTCCAGCTCAGAAGGGGAAAAGAGGCTGGAAATCAAGCCCACACCTATTTGGGGCGAAAAAAAATCCAGGAACATTTGGGAAGGAGGATGAACACAGACTCCCCTGGGCAGCTGTGGGCTGCCTGCCCATCCTGGGACTGGCTCTCCAGCCTGCTTGCCTTTCACACGGCCAGGGAGCTGCCTGGTGCCGTGAGAGCCGTGAGAAAACCCGGCAGGAGGACAGGGGGCCTCCGGGCAGGAAATCGGGAGCATGGGAGCAGCTGGGAGACTGAGAGGGCCCGGGCAGGGGAGGCCTTCATGCTGGGGAAGGGCAGCAGCTGGGGCAGCAGCCCCCCTGGTTTTGTGCATTCCTGGAGGAAACGGCATTTTTGGGGGCAGCCGAGTGCCTGGGAGAAATTCCAGGGCTGCCTTTGGAGCGCGGCTGTGGCTGAGCTGCTGGGACCCTGCTGGTGGTGGTAGCAGGGACTGGGGTTTTGGTGGGGTGGTTGCTCCTTTTTGGGCTCGGGAAGGTGTTGCGGGGATTTGTGGACGTGCCCCGCTCCAAGGTGTCTGTTGAGAAAGGTCCAGGGTGATCCTGTGAGTCCTGCTCTGGTTTGGAGCTCAGGGTCTGCTTGTCTTCAGACGTCGGCACAGGCTGTGCCTCAGGGGAACAAGTCTGAGCGCTTTCTGCCTCAGTTTCCCCACCTGCAGAGCTGCCACCTTTAAGGTTTTGGCTGGCAGTGCAGCCGGAGGGGTCTGGCCCTGGCTGTGCCCGCGGGAAGCAGCACTTCCCATGCCTTGCACACGGCTGTGCAGGGAGGAAGCCGAGTCACGTCCGCTCCGTCGGCTCCCGTTAGTCACCCTGTCCTTGATGGAGTCACAGCCACTGCCTCGCCCCGAGCAGCTCCCTGGGCTGAGTGCTCCCCCTTGTCCCACGGCAGTGCAATCCCCCCCCATTGCAGGCCTAATCCTGCAGGGAGCATCCCTGGGGATTCCTCCCTTCTGTGGGCATCCTCAGCCCTGTCTGTCCTCACCAGGGATGCTCCAGGGGGAACAAGTGAAAATGTGCCCCATGGCCATGCCTGGTCACCTCTGCACAGGCATGGCCGGCTCTGGGCAGCCAGCCCCTGCCACGGGCTGGCGGGGACAGGCTGTCCCCATCCCCAGGGATGTGCTGCGCAGGAGGAAGGGCTGGGGCGGGGCACTATCCCGGTCCTGCTTCCGCCCACCCGCCCCACAGCCGGGCCGGGCCATGGGGACGGAGCCGGGGGCTGCGGTGGGGGCTCCAAGTTGAGCGCGGAAGGGCAGAAATGCCTCTAGTGCCAAGTCCTGCCCTGGACATTCTCGTGCCTCAGTTTCCCTGGCAAGCAGCCCATCATGAGGGCAGCCCCGGATAATGCCAAAAGAGCATTTGACCCTCGATTTTTAGCGACTCAGGTCCTCACTCTCCAGAGCCAAGACCCAGACACGTTGCCCTGCTGCTCGGCTCCCAGCCGCGCTGCCCGGGGACCTAAGTCATTTCTGGGGGACAGCGGGTCCGGGTGAGCCCAACGCACCTTTGCGGGGACCCTCTGCCGCTGCTGGGGCTCTGTGCTCCCCGGGGGACGTGGCAGAGCCCCCAGCCCCCCGAGCTGGCTGCAGCCCCCGAGCTGCTCTGCCTGGCGCCGGCTCTGCCCGCGGTTCCAGCAGCCGATCAGCTCCCTCTTCCCATGAACAAACCCGGCCACGGGCTGAGGACTCGGCGGCCGGGTGGTCTCTGGCAGCATCTGCTTCGAGGCTTTGTGCCCTCCCCAAGCAAAGCCTCTTCCCAACCTCTCCCTCCCCATCCCCTCTGCTGTGCCGTGGGGGCAGGACCCCTTACCTGCCCTGTCCCAGGGTGGGAAACCTCCTGCCCACCGCTGTCATCTGCCCTGAGCGATTACTCGGCGAGTGCTTCTGCTCCGGGATGGGGAGAAGCTTTCCCAGACGCTCTCCCGCCTTGCACTGAGCGTTGGAACTTGGGGGAGCGCAGGGCGGTGGCAGAACCTCCTCCTTCCCGTCCCAGCCCTCCTCCGGCCCTCCCTTCGCGGCCGGCAGGAATGTGTGGCCGGCACAGCCCGGCTCTCACCACCGGCACGAATTCCTCCTTCTCGCCTCGCTCCTGGGGCCACCGGGACCTTTCCCGAACGCCCGGCGTCAGGGCGAGGAACTGGCAGCCCCGGGACAACGGGCCACCCGAGTAGGGGGAGAGGAAGGTCTGGCAAGGGAAGGGGTGGTACTTTGGAGACTTTTTTTTGGGGAGAAATTTGGAGTCAGCACCTCCGCCCTTGCCCCAGCCCCATGCACGCTTGCTGGGCTGGGGACTCATTTAGCCCCTCGTGCCCAGATGCCCAGGTGATGGGCAGGGGGGAAAAAATCCTTCTTTGTTGATTCTGAGGTCAAAACCCTCCCAAAAATCCAACCCTCGTCTGAGAGGGCTGAGCCCACAGATTGTCCAGAGGGTGGGGTTTGTGCATGGAAGGAGGGGGGGGGTTGTGCCTGGAGGGTGGGGTTTACTGCCCAGCGATGGAAATGGGGACGGGGTGACCGGTTTTGGGGATTTCCCCTGTGCCTTGAGAGTGGCAGCGCCCCTCGGGGATGGGGGGAAGATGCAGAGGGTGTAAAAGCAGAGAGTGAGAGGTGGAAGGGGCCGGGACAGTGCAGGTCTGAGTGTCCCGGGGCGGGAAGGGAACGGCCGGCAGCACAAAGGGACACTGAGCGGGGCTGCGAGATGTTTCCACCCTGTCCGGAAACGGGAGGGAGCAGAAATCCCACAGGAAACCTCGCTCCCATGTAGCTGCTGACCTGGCCACGGCACAGAGCGCTCCGGCTGTGCCGCCCCGCCGGCCAGGTGCATCCCGCTGGCACTGCAGGCACGGGGGAGGCACCAGAGGGACCCTGCTGGGTCCCAGCCCTCTGCCCTTGCCCGAGGGGGATGGAAAGTGGGTCCCAGGAGGAGGCAGAGCAGAGCCAATGGAGCCATACCTGTCCGAGGAGCTCTCGCTGGGATGCTCGTGCCTCTTTTCCGGCAGATCCCGGTTGGTGGTCTCTGCCCCCTCTGCTGTGTTGGGGCTTGAGCTTTGGCTGGGGTTTGGGTTCAGGCTGGAGCTCAGTGCCTCCATCCTGGGGCAGGAGCCATTCCCTGCAGGATCCTGGTCCATCCTGGCCATCCCTGCCCCTGGGGTGTCCAGGGACTGAGCCTTTTCCTCCTCCTGCTCTGCTTGTCCAGTGGCTGAGGGTAAGTCCGTGCCTGGGTCAGGGGTACTGGACATCTCAGGGCTGAGGAGTGTGTCTGTCCCGGGGGTTTCATTGCTGGGTGTCCCTTTCTCCTGGCAGTTCTGGCTGCTCTTGGCTTTGTTCAGGTTCTTTCCTGCCTTGCCCAGGTTCAGCCTGGGCATGGTGCCCATGTGGCTGTACATGTCCGAGGAGCGGGCGTAGGGGCCGGGGCCCTTGGGCATGGTGTGGAGATCATCCTGGGTGCTGTCAAAGGGCTCTTCCAGGAAGCCATGGGGAGGGGGGAGGCCTGGCCCCAGGGTCTCAGGGGAGCTGGGGGCCACAGACACACGCCGGAGGGTGAAGGCACGGGGGATGCTGCTCAGGCTCCCAAAGCCTTTGAACTTGAAAAACTCTGGCAAGGAGAGAGCAGAGATGGGTGTGGGGTTACTGCCACCATGGTGTGGGAGGGGGGAGTCCTGGGGCTGCTGGGCCAGGGCTAGGATGGGCACGGGGCACTGAGCTGTGGTGCAGCCTGGTGCCAGCACCATTACACCCTGCATTTCTGGTCCCAGCACTGCATGACAACCCTGTGGCCTGGGGTGTACATGATGCTGCTCAGGTAATCTCTTTTGGGATCCTGGGAGGTCTGTCCTGCTCCCTCAGGGAAGGAAACATCCCCTGGTGCCCTGGCAAAGCTAGTGACTGCATTTCCCCACTGCTGTTGTAGGGGTGGAGAAACACCCGCCTCGATGAGCTGGCAATGAGAAACGATTTCAAATCTCTTCCTCCCACCCTCTGCCTCCCTGGTTCCCCGGGCAGGGCTGGTGGCTGTGCCCATCCCCGCAGCCTCGGGGCAGCCTTCTCCAGGATATGACCGGGGGACGTGCCACATCTCCCCAGGGGATGGGGGGTCCCGGCCACCTCTGCCGTGCCCCCGCTGGTGGAGCAGGACCCGTGGGCGTGGGGAGCCCGGCAGCCCGGGCTGCGAGCAGATCAACTCCCCACTTCCTCGGCCGAGCGCTCAGCTCAGCCTCCCCGCGGCTCCCAGCTGCCACCTGCAAGCACTGGCCGCAAAACCTTTGCTGGAGGAGTATTTATAACCCCCGCAGAG